AAATGTTCTAATCTAAGTCTCCCAAAAAAAATTCTTCAGAAATTGGTCAAAGGCTGGGGGAGCAGCGGCCCCCCTGGCCCCAACATAGCTCCGCCTCTGGGCCATCTACTTTTCTGTCATCGTGGATAATACCATAGAACCTAGGGTGAATGTGTATATGTTGCAAAATGGTGATGGTGCCTGGCACAGACATCTCACCTTCGCGTCGGACCTCCTCCGGTATCCACGATCTAGGCCCAAAGCCGTGCTCGTTGACAACAAAATCTATGTCGCGGCCAGCGATGCAATTGTTGTGCTGGATTTGACGTCCTCAATCTTATCGACAATTCAGCTCCCACACGGGGTGAGTTTTGATCTAAGAGGCGCCACCATGTTGTCGCGGGTTGATGATGGTTCTGGTGTATATCTCATCCATATCAAGTTGCTTCAACTTCACATCTGGCTCCACAATGGGGTCAATTGGCTGCTGGTGGACACCATTTGCTTGAGTGAAATCTGTGCTGATTTGCTTGAGGATGAGCCTACTCCTGATATCCAGATAAACCATGTGGGGGACTATAATGAGTTTGTATTCTTGAAGATTGGTCGATGCGCACTCTACTTGGATGTCAAGCGCATGATGCTGCGTAAAGTGTAGGAGATGACAACAGAAGAGCATTACTTGGGTGATATCTATCCTTTTATGATGAGATGGCCTCCCATTTTCCCTACTCTCAGTCCTGCAAGATCTGCCTTTTTCCCTTTTGGTGATTTGTAGTGTACTTGTAGAGTTTACCTAGTTTTTGCAATGTGCATTGTGCATCTCACTCTTTAGCATAGTGTGGAGTGGTGTTACATATGTGATTAATTCTTTAGATTAAACAATACTATTCAAGCCACATTATAGTATTCTTGTCGTGAGGTAATTTGAAATCACTTCTATATTGTTTCCTTAGGCCTTTTTAGCAGTACTAGTTAAGCGAGATTAGTGAATGCTTGACGTAAGATGATTTGAAATCACCTCTGTATTGATTTACTGGGACATCTAACAGTACTAGAGGTGGCATTAGTGGCCTTGGCCAGTGGCCACGTAAAGGTTGCCGTGGCCACGCCCGAGATGGACGGTGGCGACCAAGAGGAAGGCGCAGTGCCAATGGACTCTGATAACGGCGCGGCGGAGGACGGGCAGAAGCAGAGCCCAGGTGAGGTCTCTGGGCCTGAGCCCGGGCAGTGCGAGGCCGAAGATGATGGGGAAGATAACACCAAAAGTGCGCATAGCGGAGATCGTCGATAGGGGTTGCAAACAGCGATGAGATTTCCCCCAAGGGATGACGTTGTACCATGTTTCCAACTTTTTGATACCGATTTGCCGTTTCTTGTTCGTGGCGCCCCCTGAGCTGAGACATTAGTTAATTAGCAGACACTGATGTCTTCTCTTTTTTTGGCGCCCCCTGAGTACTACTGGGCACCATGTTTTAGCCTGACACATGTACATCATATACATAGCAACCAAGGCTGGTCAGGCTGGTCATAGTGGGGAGTAACTTAGACTAGTAACATACATATGTTACTAGTCTATGTTACTACCTTCATAGTGGGTAGTGTCATAGGCGTGGTAACATAGTTGCCTTCATTTATTACTTTGTAGATTCATTATGCATTGGAAACCGCTATGTGATGGTAACATATTATGTTACTCTATTTGCCTCTCTCCTCATTAACTACTTGCCACATCATCATTTTTGCTTATGTGGCATCTATGTTACTACCTATGTTACCCCCACTATGACCAGCCTCATAGTGGGGAGTAACTTAGAATAGTGTCATATGGATGACACTAGTCTAAGTTACTACCTTCATAATGCAAAGTAACATGATAGTAGTGTCATAGATGGCTTTATTTATTAGCTTGTAGACTCATCTTATCTTGGGAAGCGCTATGTTACAGTAACATATTATGTTACCACCTCACATTAAATATTTGCCACATAAGCAAAAAATTCTTGGAATGCGCTATGTTACTAGTTAAGTTACTCTCACTATGACTAGCCTAAGTAGCAAAGGTTCATCTGTAATCTTATGCTCATTTTACAGTTTGTTTTTACAGCCATTGAAAATTCATATCCAGAGTGGTTGCCAATGCCAGCACTCGCTAGATTTATTCAGGAAATTGCTAGTTGTGGTTAAGAAATTTGAACCTTGGAAACATGCTCACTCCCAGTTCTGGGTGGGAACCCGGTTCGAACCCTCATCTGCAACAAAGTTCAAATCCAAGCCCCGTTTGATGAGAAGCCCATCTGACAGTGTTTTTTCAGAAATGATTTTCTTGGAAGGCATTTTCTACGGCCATTGAAATCTCTTACCCGGAGTGGTTGCCAGTGCCGGCACTACATTTATATTCAGGAAGATTGGCGAGATCCGAGTTCGAAATTCGAATCATACTAAGTATTTTCACGCGCGATCCTGCTTCCTGCGAGCCCCGGTTGTTCCGTTCTAACGCTCGTCCGCAACCACCCCGCTGGTGTAAATAAATGGCGCCCTTAATAAAGCCGTCCTGTAACGGATGATGGTTGGTTTTTGGCGCTAGGTTAGTTGGATTTTCTACTCTTTCTACTCCTCCGAAGTGCTTTGCAATTAATTACATTCACTGCCCCCGGTCAACCGCCCCGCGGGCACCAGGTCTCATCCGGGCCGCCCGTTGTACCCGTGGACGGCTGGGATGAAGGATGGAACCTGCCCCTGCCCTTGGGGTCGAAGGAAGCTTGGCTTGGACGACACAACAATTCAGGGGCTAGCTATATATGCAGAGCTCAGCTCAGCTCAGCTCACGAGTAGTACTAGTGTGAAAGGTTCCGTCACTCGCTCCACTGTCGACAGCTGCTTCTTCTTCTCTTGTGCTTTCGCCTTCCGGGGAGGGGAGGGGAACAATGGCGCTCTCTCCCTCCTCCTCCGCCATGGCTCTTCCTCGCGTGCGCTTCTGCTGACTTGTAAGTCCATCTCTCTCTCTCTCTCTGCCCGTTTCTTTTCGCTTCTTGAGAGAATGATTCAGTGTCTCTCCCCTCTTTGTAGCAGCCGGGAGGGTTAGTAACTTTAATTTGAAAGAAATGCCTTGAACCATCTCATACTCCATTAGATTCCGACACAAGCTCTGTCGGAGTTTCTCTATGTTCCAACCATGACCATGCACGGCCCATGAACCGAGATGAACAATTGCTTACTGGAAGCTTGTTTCATAAAGAGTTCCCCACCTTGCTTGTCCTCCACAGCAACACTGGTCAGTAGTAATTCCATGCCGTACTGCTCCTTGAGGTATATGTACATACATCCCCCATACCCACCCACCCACCCAAAGTAGTTACATTGGTCAGTAAAAAAGGTCCAGATTTTAAGACCTGGCCCTGTGTTTGTGTTTGCAAAACAAACAAGGTGTTTATATATAGCACTAGAGGCCAGTGATGAGCTCCACTGCCTAGCAGCAGGAGAGCTCGTACGGTGTCGCCGGCCGTCTCTTTTTTGTGCAAAGCAAAAGAGACAAGGTTCTTC